TATATATATATATATATATATATATATATATATATATATTCTGATTTCCTAACATCTCAGGCAACCCAGAGAGAAGAGAAGACTGTGTGGGCTAGAAGAGAGAGGAACAAGACTCTGAAATGTGGCTGTGACCAGTATGCTGATGGTGCCAGTGCAGTGTTCTGCTTAATTGCACATATCCTACCATTGTTCCTCCCTCCACATCAAGTTGGGAGGAGACACTAGGCTGCTGCTGCCTTGTAATATTCCACCCACATTAGCTTTTATCCCTTAGACTATTTTTTTTTTACTGTGAATACAGAGCATTTTAATGTCTTTGAGATGAAATGAATGAATAAATAAACAAATAATCTCTCCTGGTTTCCTTAAGCTCTCCCTTGAAATGCTGATTGATTCTTTTTTTTCCTTTTAGCTCTTGTTGTAAGAATAAATAAAAAAGAGTCTTCCCTGCATCCCATGGGTTATCATTGTTAGCTCAGGGTGTGGGTAGGAGTTCAGAAAATAAATCTGGGCCTGTTTTGTTCATTTGTTCTCATTTGTTCATCGTTCTCTTCTCACCCCTGGGGGCTCCTAACTTCAGTCACTTCTGTTCCTGTTATACAGAAGCCAGAAAAGGAAACCTTTTTCCTGTCTTTTCCTTTTCAGAGCTCCCCCAGGCAGGGAGAAACCCTGGCTGCAACTGAAGATATACAGTCACAGGATGAGGATGGGGGTGGCCAGTATCCCTTCTCAGTTAAACTGTTTCCAATTTTTATATGACTTAACACAAAGGAGGACGAGCTTTAAACCTGAAAAATCTGAAATCCACTTTTTATGACTTGATAAAAGCCACTTCCGATACCTGGTGAATGGGTACCATAATCAGATCTTCTGCTCTTTGGCCCGATGAGTGGGATGAGGCCCCTCTATCTTCTTCTGACTCAGTCATGCTATCCATGTCAGACAATTTCAACTTCAAGGGATGGGGAGGATGAGAAAGGAGCAAATGATGATAGAATTCCAGATCCTCTGGTGTAGTTCCTATGCTACCTCTTAACTACTTTGGGCGTGCATCCCTGCAGGCACCTGGTGTGTGGGTCCCTGCAGAGTCCTCAGGAAGGCTGAAGAGGAGGCAGCTAGTGACAGAACGCTAGTGGGCAGTTATACTCAGCTGTAACCAGTGTGTGTGTGTGTGTGTGTGTGTGTGTGTGTGTGTGTGTGTGTCTGTCTGTCTGTCTGTCCACACAGATTTACCTACACCCTCGGGGAAGGCATGTGGTTGCCCCTCAGCAAGAGCTTCGTGATTCCACCAGCTGAGCTGGCCATCAATCCATCAGCAAAGTGTAAGACTGACATGACTGTGATGGAAGATGCTGTGGAGGTCAGGTGAGTCTGGCTGAGGGAGTAAAGTGGCAAATGACCTGAAGGTACCAAAACTGGGGGTGGGGGGACATATAACAAGCTGAAGTTGGCAAGCTGCCTTCAAGTTCACCGTATACACAGACAGGATCTGCTATTTATCTGGGTCAATACTGTATAACCCAAGGCTCATTCACTGGAAGAGGACATAAAATTAGAGTTTGTAACCACTTCCCACAAACCTCTAAGACTGACAGGCAATAAAATGTTAATATCCTTGCTTACATTCAGATCTCCTTCTTTGACCAGGCATTATAGCATTGGCTCATTTCCCAGATATGGTGAATGCCCATGATTTGTTAGCTCAAGGCTTTGAGTATGGCTAATCTTCAATTTTTATAAAAGAGCGAGACTAGAAAAAGCAGACCAGATTGGAACATGGAATGTAAGAACACTTGTTGCTTTTGGAATCCCTTGATTCCTCCATTGCTTCTTCATACAGAGAGGAGCTGATGACATCATCATCCTTTGACAGCCTGGAAGTCCTCTTAGATTCCTTTGGGCCAGTGCGTGATTGCAGCAAAGACAATGGAGGCTGCAGTAAGAATTTTCGCTGCATTTCAGATCGCAAGTTGGACTCTACTGGTTGTGTGGTATGTCAATTCTTCTATCCTACAGGTTTTTGTATAGGGTGGGGGTGACACATGGTATTATCATAGAGAGGAAAACATGGGTGATAGCCAGCTGTGACCATATATTCTAAATTAAGAACATTTCTCTTGATAGGAATGAGGAGTTAATCAGTCCACCAAGAAGTACCTACAGAGTACTACTAGGTGTTCTAGATCTTTTCAGAGGAGCTTCCATATATTCAATAGTAGAGTTCAGTCTTACAAGATAGTTGGTAGGAGCTATCTGAAGTTGGTCCCCAAGCCTAATAAGAAACTTTAGGAGAAACCCACCCACAGCTAGGGAAATGAAAAGAGTAAGTTATACTAGAAATGGTAGATAAAAAACATAAACAAAAATGGCATCAGGAGTGAGAGAGATGGCTCAGCTGTTAAAGACTAAAGCTGACAAAACAAAACAAAACAAAACAAAACCAAGAGTTTATTTCTCAACACCCATGCTTAGCTCTCCAGCTTCCTCTCTAGGAGCAGGCATCTCTGAGAGTTAGATAGAGGTAAACCTTGTTTACATAATGAGTTCTAGGACAGCCAGGGCTACATAGATCCTATATATTGTGATTGGTTGGAGTTTACATCAAGGAAGTCCTGCTTTTTTAAATAAAAATATGGGTTTCTGTTTTATTTTGCTTTTTGTTTTCAGATCTATAGACTTAGCTACTTTAAGAACAGGTTATATTGTTAACCAGTAAGACTTCTGGGGCTAAGATGTTCTATGCTATCTCCCAGGTTATAGAAATGAAGATGGTTCTGGATCAGGAAGGTAAACGGAGGCAGGAGCTGATGGAACCATCAGAGCTGGTTCCTATATAATGGTCATTTCTGTTTCTGCTAACACTATCATCTGTTTTTAGTCCTACCTTCTTTAGAGGTTTAGAGGGAGAATCATGAACTACTTAGGAAGGTAGAGGGGCTGCGTCAGGGAAGGATGGCAGGGAGGATGTTCAAAGAATGGAGGAGGTAGGGAACATTCATTCAGACACCATCTGCAGTATTGGCTTAGGGGAAAGGACTGGGAACTTCCATCCCTGGCAGTGGGGTGGGGTATGGTGCCCCATTTAACTTCCCTTTCTGACAGTTGTGATGTGGGAGAGGACCCAGAGCATGAGAAAGCTGTGAGGCTGCTGAGCCAACACCATCTTTCACCCTCCTTCTTGCCCAACTCTGAGCATCTGTTCCATTCAGGGATCTGCTAGGTGTCAATGTTGAATGTCTATCTGGTGTCCAGGGTGTAATCTCCAAGATGGTACCAACTAAGCTGCAGCCAGGAGGGGCCTGGCTTACATCAGAAAGAAGTGGACATGAAGAAAAGCAAAGCAAAGATAAAGATGCATGGCAGATAGGAGGGTCTGGCAGGTACCCAAAGAGGACAAAGAAGAACAGGGGCATGGGAACTCTTGGGAAAATACAGTTAAAGCACCTGTTAGTTCATGACTTCCACAGGCAACCAGGAGGTGAGGTGATGCCTATCAGTTTTCTCCTCCTCTGGCTAGTTCCACCCACCTGAGTTTCCCAGGAGACAATTTCACTGTTCAAGTGAGCTCTAAGATGAAGTACCTTTGTTTTTCTATTTACCCTGATTTCAACCTTTCATTCCTTATTATTTTCTGGGGTCATTTTAAGTACTGAAACATGACCCTGTACCTATATGATGATCCTCCCTTGTCCATCCTCGGTAGCCACCCACATATGGTTTGCATATTCATATGCAAGAATTGACTTCCCTTTTCTTGCTGCTTCTTCCTATCAGGACCCTTCCTCCAGGGTGGGAATGGCCTGTCAGGTGTCATTGATTGGCCATCCTTGGCCTTTCACTTGGCATGTAGCTGTGCTGATGGAATCCTACAGTTTCCACATTGTAATCTGTGAGACGGAGCTAGCAGGAATAGTTCTGATGAATATGCATTTGCAGAATTGGAGCCACTGCAGAAAGTCACACAATTATACCAGTACTGCATTAGCATAATTCTTTGAAGTCACTGCTCCACGTGGCTCCCAGAGGGAAAGGGGCCAGGCCGACTGGCAGACACATCCCATTCACTGTTTCTCATTGGCTATGAAGCATATGATCCCTAAGCAGAAGGGTAGAGTATGTGAGAACTAACACATGGCATCATGAGGCTTGTGACCCTACTGAAAAGATGTCTAGGGAATCTGAATCTACATCCGTATTGTCTACAAGTCCTTGTGTGTTAGCAGAGGTGGGCCAGAGGCAAAGGTAATCTGTACCCACTACAGTTTGAGAATTGACTCACCTCTGCATATGGACCCTTATTCTCAGTCTTTTGTGTGTTGAATGGGAAGACTTCCCAAGAAAGATATATTTTTAAGAAAAGAAGAAAGCGTGAGAAACAAAAGCATGCTGGATCTTTAGGAATCTTGGAAGGAGTCAGAGATATGGACTTTGAAGAAGATGCAGCCATGTATTTTCTAATTTAACCCAAGCCAGACAGGGAGGATTTATGTTATGTCCATGCTGCCTGCTCAAAGAATTCTAGAATGAATTCTTTCTTGGAAAGCTCTTTCAGTGATATTTCAACTCCCAGGGGTTAATTGCCTCCAGTTAATTACCCTGGTGTTTGTATAGTCTCTGAGAACAGGAAACAAATACCTGTGAAAGGCAGAAACTTGTGCAAACTTTAACACATCATTACAAAAATACAACTACTCTCCGCCAACCAGGGACTGTGAATGCTTCCAGAGGATTCCCAGAGCATAAGGGTACCACCCGCTACTGATGGCCAGACCTTATATTCATTGTCCTTAAAGTCTCCTCCATGAGACACCTTCATATTGTTGTTGGAACAAATTACATTGATTTTAGTGGCTTACAGCTATACAAATGCATTATACAACAATTCTACATGTAAGGATTCTCACTGGGCTGAAGTTAAGGCATAGTCAGGGCTGTATTCCTTTCTGGAGGTCCCAGAGAGAACTGATTTCTTTACCTTTTCAGTGTCTAGAGTCCATACACTTTTCTCAATTCAGGACTCTGTTTGGTACATCTCTAAAGCTAGAAATACTGTATTTTTCTAACCATTATTCTGCAACATATTTCTCTTCCATTCTATATCCCTCTTCCACTTTTAACAACGCCTTCGAGTACATCAAGTGAATCTAAATAATCCAAGATAATCCTCTCATCTAAAGATCCTTGATTTAATCCTATCTGTAAAGCCTTTTTGGCCCTGTAAAGTTAGCTGTGCTCTTTTTTATGATTATATTCCAGACAAGCTTGAATGAACCATCCATGAGTAATGGCAGTGGGAATTGAGTAGACTTAGCAGATAGAACTCCAGCTCCAGCTCCAGTTAACATGAGGGTTTCCTTATCAATTATTATAGTGTGTGTGTGTGTGTGTGTGTGTGTGTGTGTGTGTGTGTATTCATGCCTTTATGTGGAGGCCAGAGGGCAACACCAATTGACCAATTGTCTTTCTTAATCACTCCCTACCTTATTCTTTAAGATGAGATCTCTCACTAAACCTAGATCTCGAGAATTCTGTAAGACAACCTCCCCGAAAGTCACAAAGCCACAAAAATCCTTATGTGTATATCTCCCCAGTGCTGAGATTATAGATATCCATACAGACCAAGTATGTATTTCTGTGGGTGTTGGGGATTCGAACTCACATCCTCAAGCTTGGGCAACAATCGCTTTACCGACTGATCCATCTAGCCAATCCCCTTCGTTCTTATCAAGCCTACCTACTGAGTTTCACCATAAAATGTGTCTTGAAAGTTAGACAATTACTATCATGGCTGTGCCAGAAATAAAGGAAATAGGGAATCCCACATTTCTTCCTCATCTACACACTCACCCTCATGCTGAAAATGCCCAGCAAATGCTTTTGCTTTGTAAGACCTTGAAATACACTAGATAAGTAGACCATGGCCACGCATGGAGGTGTGTAGACTGTTATGCATTCTTGTGTGTGGAACGCATGGCCTTCCCTGCCTGATCATTCTGTTCTAATGTCTGCAGAATTGCTCAGTGACTCTGACACCCTCCTCCACATGGTTCCCCCTAACATGTGTCGTTTTACCTTTGCTAGAGCACAGATGTGCAGGGACCATTCGAGATGAGGATTTCTCCTTCTCTCTGCAGGACAATAAGTAAACTAATACACTTCAGAGATTTCTAGAGAAATTGGGGCAGGGAACCACAGCCGCTGAAATATAATTTTAACTACATCACACTTTTCCCCTTGGGAGAAGGCCTGCACATCTCAGACCAGCATGTCAAAGCCCATCAAGAAATTGTGGAAATCATCACTGGCAAAATGAATGAGATTGCCACGTAGTAAAAAAGAACCTATTTCCAGTAGAAAATGTGGTCGCATGCCTTATGAATCATCCAAGTAAGGTGAGGCAAGCTCAGCTGCTGGAATCTGTCCCTCTTCTCCCAAGGGACACAAATAAGCTCCATGCATCCATCACTCATATCCATTTGCCAACAGAGTATCTACTTTGTAATCTGGAACTGAGATGTCTGTGGTCTCCGATTTAGTCTCCTAAGTGATTAATCAACCAAAACTCATTGGAAGAAAAAGAGGGGGAAAGATGGCAAAGAGAAGGATTTGAATGGGGAAAATCATTTTAATCTCATTAGCAAATTGTGCCTTAGACTAGTAATGAGTCAAGAAGCCATGAACATCTCATGAAAGATGATTAACCTTGTGTGTTTTAGGGGTCACTGAAATATGAGCTCATTTATTAGACCTTCCTGGTGGGGGAGGGCCATGGCTCTAATAAATGGAGTTTTCTTTTTCAGTCTATAATTCACAAAGTACCTGGGACTGCCAAATATAACCTATGCAAAGTAGGGTTGACATATGACCTTGGGACTCTCTCCTGGGCAAATGGTTCTCATTCAAGGACCAAATGGAAGGATTATCCACAGCCAAGAGCAGAGACCATCCAAGTCTTGCCAACAGAAAATGCAACTTTTATAGACAAGAGCTCCTCTGACCCCATGGCTGGGGCTGCACCTACTTCCAGAAGCAGAACCACAGTTGACTGTAGCCTCTCTTTATATTCAGATCAAAAATTTGAGGAAACCTGACATTTGAATGTATTAAGAGAAGGAAGATACGTGAGAAACCAAATTTATTCCATGGATGCTTGAATGATTAGCTCCCTAGGGAATGGGTGCTCTGGTATCAAGAGCTATGAAGAAATCTCAGTCTTTCATTTCAATATTGTTTTTTCTGGAAATATTTCTAAAATTCTCTGAACTGCCGCCCAAGTTAGTTACAGTACAATAAAGATAATTGCATCTTTCTCAGTGACTGAGGATCTTGTTTTGCCTTCAAGGTCATCATCTAGACAGCTTGCAGTGTTTTGTCTTAAAATAGTTCCACTAATAACATGGTGTGTGTGTGTGTGTGTGTGTGTGTGTGTGTGTGTGTGTGTGTGTGTGGAGAGGAACACAGGAAAAGTATTATGCTAAATCTATAAGTCCATAATTGATCCAAGAATATGCTTCAGAAGTGGCTTAAAATAATCACATAGCAGATCTACAGGCTTGTTTTACATTGTTTATGCATGACCTTTATTTCTTCCAAGGAATCCAGATTTTATCACAGGTACACAGCAAAATCTCAGAAACACATACAAGCCCAAAGTTGGTTTCTGCAATTTCCTATCATGGTGGCCTTAAACAAGTTTGTTTTTCTGAGCTACCTATAATATGGAGAAGATAAAGTGCACCTGTGTTGTTGGGACTGCAGAAAAAATACACATAGACAAAAATGGACTACAGAAAGAATTGCCTAATTCTTTATGGCTATGGTTAGTAATTTAGTTTACTTATAAGAAAAAAATCAATGTGGAAAAAATATCTAATGTTGTCTTCTTTCTAAATCTTTTAAGAATATGTGAACATCAGGTGGTCCAATTAGGAATAACCTTGGTCATCTAGGCATTAGGGCCAGGCAAGATGTGAATATGCCAGGATGTGGAACTCTGGAACAAAGCCTACTCATGTTTCATTCAGTGAAGTCTTTGTCAAAAGTTGTGCATGATGGAGCATTCTGAAAAAAAAAAAAAAAAAAAAAAAAAAAAGCAGGTGGCTGAGAAGCTGGGGAGTCCTGGCTGGGGAGTGATAGAGCTATCTGGTGTGAGGGTGGAAATTATGTTAAGCAGTATTGGCAGGACAACTGGCTTTATCTCTGCTTGATGGCTTCTAACAAGCTTTATAAAAGGGGATGGGGGGAGAGCAACTCCTGGCCACATGTACAAGACATTTAATTCCAATAACACTTTGTGTTTCCATACCCAAATCATGCCTGGGGAGCCACATGGTGCCTAAGCCAGACCCCTCTGGTAACACATCTGGATGAACAGCTGGGTGGCCAAGGAGCTTGATGGGGAGCTAACAAATCGTGGGGTGCAATCCTCAGCTTCTTCGTTTGCTTGTTTGCGATCATAACCATTATGGGGAACATCTGGGTGTACACAGCATGTGCTAGGCCTTGGAATTGGCTTTAAATGCTGCCACCTTCCAGCTTTCCATCTGCCTTCTTGGGAAGAGGGGATGGACCAAACTGGGGGCCTGGCAGGTCCTGGGGGGGCATTTGTTTAGGAAATTGTAGAACTGGTGTCAGTAAACAGTGTATACCCCACTGTGATCATTGACTGGGGAAGAGGGAGGGAGGAGAGGTGGCTTTTCAGAGACACATCTGCTGAAGCACTAAGCTCTGTGCTAAGCCAAGGTGCCTGGCAGAAGAGAGAGGACAAGCCAGGCAGTGGAGAGTGAAGACAGACTCATCATCACACTGTGCCAGGTTTCAGAAGTTTTGTTTGGGTCTTGGAGGAGTGTGCTTGCAGGAAATAGGATAGACTAGATAGATAGGTAGATAGATAGATAGATAGATAGATAGATAGATAGATAGATAGATACTGATGATATATAGATATCTATATAGATAATGGATAATAGATACATAGAGTAGATAGATGATACATACATACATAGCTAGATATATGAGAGCTAGCTAGATGATAGATGAATTGAGAGATGATACATAGGTATTTGATTAATAGATGATAGATAGATGGTTAATAGATGATAGATACACAGATGATTGATAGCTGATGGACAGATACACAGATAGATAGACAGACAGATAGGATAAGATATAATCATTAAAATCTTGCATTTTGGAATCAAATCTAGACATGCTCTCAGCTCTGCCCCACCCTAGCTGCTTGAGCCTGGCCTTCATGTATGCCTTCTGCCCAGTCTGTTAGAATCAGTCTTTAAAAAAAAATTTGTTTAAATTAGAAACAAGATAGTTTTACATGCCAATCTCCATTCCCTCCCCTTCCCCTCCTCCCCTGCCCCCCACTAACACCCTACCTATCCAATACCATTTCTGCTCCCCAGGGAGAGTGAGGCCTTCCATGGGGATCTTCAGACTCTGTCATATCCTTTGGGATAGGGCCTAGGCCCTCCCCCATGTGTCTTGGCTGAGGGAGTATCCCTCTATGTGAAATGGAATCCCAAAGTCCATTCCTATGCTAGGGATAAGTACTGATATACTACAAGAGGCCCTATATATTTCCAAGGCCTCCTCACTCTCACCCACATTTATGGGATCTGGATCAGCTCCCCAGCTGGTTTCCCAGCTATCAGTCTGGGGGCCAAAAGCTCCCTCTTGTTCACATCAGCGGTTTCTGTGGGTTTCACTAGCATGGTCTTGACTCCTTTGCTCATCACTCCTTCTCTGCAACTGGATTCCAATTCAGTTCAGTTTTTAGCTGTGGGTATCTGCTTCTACTTCCATCAGCTGCTTGATAAAGGCTCTGGGATGGTATATAAGTTAGTCGTCAATCTCATTATTAGGGGAGGGCATTTAAGGTAGCCTCTCCACTGTTGCTTAGATGGTTAGTTGGTATCATCCTTGTAGACCGCTGGACATTTCAAGCAAAATTAGACGCTAGAATCACTCTTAATATTAATACACAGCATCTTCACACAGGCACAAGGATTCAGGTGGCAAAAATTAAAATAAAATTTAGAATTAGGATTTTAGAGATTCTAGTACAATAGTGGAGGTTCACTTGTCCTTGAATGAGAGTAACACAGGAAATAATGAGAGAAAATAGTGCAGGCTCAGTTTGCAGACATCACGCAGAGTCTGGGTGTGACATAGGAGCCACTGAGTCAGTGTGCCACAGATCATCTGCCAGGGATTCAAGTGTGGGCTTTCTTGAAACAGCTATGAACCTAGGAGTTAAAGACTCTGTGCCTCAGTTTCCTCATATGGGTCACCTTTCTCATCTCATGGTCTTGTCTGAGGGTTGGACCTTAGGGTTTTTTGCTGCTGTGGAGAGACCCCATGACCATGGCAAGCCTTATAAAGAAACATTTAATTGGGGGTGGCTTGCTTACAGTTTTAGAGGTTCAGCCCATTATCACCATGGTGGGGAGCACAGTGGCGTGCAGGCAGATGTGGTGCTGGACCCGGAAGCCCTACATCCTGACTGAGGGGCAACAGGAAGTTGACAACTGGAAGCCTGAAGCTTGAGAAAAGAGACCTCAAAGTCCACTTCCACAGAGACACATTTCCTCCAACAAGGCCACACGCCCTAGTAGTGCCACTACCCTTGGGGGCCCTTTTCTTTCAAACCACCACAGTTGGATTAAACAACCAGGTAGTCCACTTGCTGAGGTCTGTGAAAGTGTTCCTGGGGCTCACCTTGCTCCATGACCTTTCCCAGAATCTGAGGATTTTATGATTACCTCCTTCGCTGTCACCCTTGAGAAGTTGACTGGGGACAATTAAGGCAGAGAAGCAAACGTTTCACATTAAAACTATCTGGCCAAACCCAAGCACAGCACCCAAGCTCATATAGTAGGTGCTGTCTGCTGTGTGGCTTCCAAAGGGTATCTTTGAGATAGCAAAGTGATGAGCTTAGGATTTCCTACTGTGAGAGGCTTCACAAACTCTTCTTCAAGGCTACAGGAAAAGTCTCCTTCCACCCTCAGACTGGCAGCCCCGGCTCAGTCCATTTCTCCAATGTCGCTAACTGGTACCAAAACTGATAAAGTGCCCTTTTAATGTGAAGTTCAAACAGCACCGCTGCTTTCCCTAGTCCCCAGGAATCCCAGCTTAATGCATTTTAATTCTGGCCCATCACTTCCCCTATCCTGCCAGCCTGAGGTCCAATTGGGAAGCAGCCCTGCAGCCCTCTTCTCTTGCTCTGTCAGCCACATAGCTCCATGGCAGCCTGCTCAAAGCCAGAGGCTTAATGCAAATGTGTATGAGTTGTGCCCAGAGAGAAGCAGAAAGACAAAAAAAAAAAAAAAAAAAAAAAAAAAAAAAAAAAAAAAACTCCTTGATTTTTAAAAGGAGGCAAAAAGGCTACAGGAAATCCATGGCTTATTTGCCAGGGGTAAGAGTTTCACACGCAGTAAGTGGCTGCACTTGGATCTCTTGTTTTACTCACTTGGGTGGATGCTTTCTGGTTGTGCCAGTGCCCGTCAGGACTCAGCCCCATGAAGGACAGCTCAGGCTGCTATGACCGCCATATAGGAGTGGACTGCTCGGATGGTTTCAACGGCGGCTGCGAACAGCTGTGTCTCCAGCAGATGGCGCCTTTTCCAGATGACCCCACCTTGTACAACATACTCATGTTCTGCGGGTGAGTGGGCAGCCAAGAGACTTTGGTGCTGAAACCCCAGTCCGTCCTTGTGAATGGACTGGTCACTGCCTAGGCTCTAAGGGGAAACCCGGCACTATAGGATGAGCACTTGGATAGTCTAACTGAGAGGAACCTTACGGCAAGTCTAGTCCGGAGGCTACAGAAATGCAGCCTTTGGCTCACCTGAAAGGAAAATTAGCCATGTGGTTTACATAAATCGTTGCCCAATTAAACCAGGATGTTACAAGCTTTGCCTTTGAGGAACTAATGATGTGTCTTGTGGCAAAAACTGTTCCCATGGTCCAAAAACCTGAGAAAGACTATATGAAACTCCCGATTATCAAATAAGGGAAGGAGGAGTGGTTTTAGAAAAATGGAAACTCCAAATTCTGCTCCCAAAGTCCCCATGCTTTGAATAGCCCTCCCTCCTTCGGCAAAGTTATTAGTTCCTCCTGGTATACAGCTCTTCCTGTGATCAGCTCTCTCCCCCATCCATGTGAGGGAACAGGGTGGGCGATGCCACCCCCATTTTCACAGGTGAGAAGAGGGATGTCCAGTGAGGTTAACTATCTCCCTCAAGACTGGAAAGCTAGTAATGTGAAGATGAGGAGCAAAATTCAGGCCCCTTCTGACTTTTTAAAAGCTCTGCAGTTTTCTCAAAATTTAAATTTGTATCGCTAAGTAAAATTATATTTAAAACCATTTTCATGCTATATTTATCAAGTAAATAAAGATTTAGCCAATTCTGCTATGCCCATAGATTGCTTGTCTGTCTTTTTCTCCCTTCCCACCCTCCCTGCTTCTGCCCCCCTCTTGCACCCCACCCCGTTGCTATAAGTGAGCTGGGGTGCTCACACACTACACTGACCACTAGTCTGCCGAAGAAAGTAGCATTTAGGTTCGAGTCTTCAAGGATCTCACCATCTAATAAGCTTGCAATGAAAATCAATGTTTATAGTCATAAAACTATGTTAGGGGCTTGCTAAAAGCCGGTGCCTGCTGAGTAACCATGAAAAGATTTCCAGTGCACTTGTAATGTTATTTTATTGTATTTTATCTCATTTCTTTGCAATTGAGCAATTTTCATATTTAGTTTCTTGTAAAATCCCATTCCATAAATAGAAGCTTGCTCTAAATTTTAATGTTCTCTATAATGTGACCATTTAGGTTGACACATTTCAATTAATGGAAGCAGACTCAGCCAAAGTTACATCCTTTATTTACCGTATATACATTTCATCACCCCCTTGTGTAGAGAACCTAGTTAGGTGTTAGATACAAGGGGACCAACAGGATGCCCAGCCTGGCCTTCCCTCTCAAAAAAGTTTGCTGTGCAGTACTTGAACAGAAGAATGAGAATTGAGGCCATATGGAAAAGACAGACAGTTGTTAAGATGTTTAAGATGGACTGAAATGGAACCAGCCAGCTTTAACCATTGTCACCTAAACTCTGGTTTATTTGTCTAGAGGAAGGAACCACTGCAAGGTCTTGTCCCAGACCTCCTTTGAGTCCCAGAATTAGTCCTCTGTGGATCTTGAATCATACCCATGGCCTGAACAAAAGCCATGATTTCTCACTGGACTTTCTTTCTGGTTTCAGTTGGAAATAGGCACATGTTGATTATTGTTACTCAAGGCACTATATATAGCCTTCCAGATTCGTCCTGATTTGAGGTTCTTGTACAGGGAGCAAATCACACGAACTTATAATTAAAAAGCTCCATTCACACCTGTTCACACAACTGTATAAATGAGAAATGGGGAAAATTAACAGTTAAGGTTGTTTGCCCACGGTCCTCATTTGCACCTCTGCTAATAATAATAGCAACATTTAACCGGCACTAGCTGTACCATTAACATGGTGTAAGTTCTATATGTTCAATATATAAATTAATTTCCTTTACACTCTAGTGCAACAGCTACTTCTCCCATCCTTCTGGAAGTTTTTGAAATGAAATCTCATAAGAGTTTAATCAGCTGTCCCAGAGTTACACAGTTAAGGACAGCATTAATGTTGTTACAGTATTATGTCTCACTTTTTAAAGCTATGATCCTTTGTTCCTCTATAAAGACTGAAGCTTTTAACTTATCACAGTTACTACAGGTAGTGATAATTGATGTGTTCAGGATCATAATCATCTTAAATTTTAAATTTGTTCTATTTATAAGGATGGAAAGAAATCTTTTTTTAACGACAGCCTTTTAAAGAATTAAGTCTTACTTGACTTAACAAATACATCTTACTTGTAAAATAACTACAAATAAAGTCCAATTAATGACTTATGAGTCACTGACCCATGATTTCCAAATTAGGATTACTTTCCCATTAGAGCAACACAATGAGAAAAACACCGAGGAAGCCATTGTTGGTTTATGGAGCACACAGTATTCACACTGTGCCCTGGCATCTATTTAGTTCAGGATTTCAACGCTGAATCGAGGGGAGTTTGAATGAGTGGTTGGTTTGTTTGTATGTATTCAAAGAGAACACAGCTAGAAGATCATAAATCTTCCTCATTTCTTAGTTGACTTGCCACAGGACCAGATTAGAGAGTTATTAATTTCTTAAGCACACTGTCACTCTTTTGCTGCCTAATTACCCTACAAACAAATGCAGAAGCTCCACAGAATATTCTTGAAAGAAATGCTGGCATAGCCTTCATTTTAAGTATGTTAACTCACTTATAAGCTGATCTCCTCTACTTCTTTAGAAATTAGAGGGCTAGGACAAGTGGATGCTCTCAGTCCAAAAAGACTTTATTATCTAAGTAAAGTAAAACATTTGATGTGACCATGATGGAAAGTACCTCAATTTACAGATGAAGAAACTGAGTTTTACGAGACCCAAATCAAATTGATTGTTCTTAACTTGAGATCACCCAACATTTCTCTAGAGCACATTGCTTCCCAATTGCTGAGTTGTTTTCCCTGATGACTCATTGATGAATAACTTTTTATCGTGAGTTCTCTATCCTGTTAGGTGTATTGAAGACTACAAGCTTGGAGTGGATGGACGGTCTTGCCAACTTGTCACAGAGACCTGCCCAGAGGGAGGTGACTGTGCAGAAAGCAGAGAGGTCCCCATGAACCAGACTCTCTTTGGAGAAATGTTCTTTGGTTACAACAACCAGTCCAAGGAAGTAGCCGCTGGACAGGTGCTAAAAGGAACATTCAGGTGAACTTCATATGCATAGAGCTGACTTTTCAGGAATGTTGATGTAGCTTCCTCTGTGAAGAGCCTTAGTCTCAGCATGAAGTTGTATATCTTTGACCAGGGTGAATATGATATACCTAAAAGAACAGATTGTGTTCTTGCCCATAATCCTGTTCAAGTCTAAACTCTTCATTCAAGAATCCAACCAGCATGTCAGGTGTATGGTAAAACCTTAAGTAAAATCTTACCTTCCAGATTTCACATTGAAGCCACACTAAAATGCTCAAGTTCCATTTCAACTCCAAATCTTAAGACCTGGCTGGCTTGTGAGTGAGTCTAGAGCAGCAGTCCTCAGAGTAAGCGCAAAGAATTCTTGGACATCGCTGGAGACCTCTTCGGGGTGTACTTAGGTCCTACCTATTGGAAAGCTAAATTTCTTTCATATACTTCAAGTAAAACAACAGGTTGTAATAAGTTGGATCCAGTTCTGAGAATCCATTTGTCTTCTATTAAGTCAGACATTTAAAAATATAAAATAATGCCATAGCCCTCTTTCCCATAAAACGGGTTGATACTGAATATGTGTACTGGTACTTTAATAGTAATTTTTGGATTTTCTCTTTTAATTTTTAAAGTTGTAAATACTGACATTGATGATCATAGTCAAGCAAATAGGGCATTTAATTATTTCGAAGATTATAAGGCACCCTGGGGGACAAACATTTTGAACCATTTATGTTGAAAATCTATGAGAGATTTTTCATTTGACCCTCTTACCTATTCTTCCTTGGGCTATTTGAATTTTCCTGGAGCCATTAAAATATACTTTCCATGAGATGATGATGATTATGACAATGGTGATGTCAGTATTCTACCATAAAACACAACTTCGTAGCAATCTAAGCCTATGCTTTTAGGAACAAATTGGAGGCAAATTTTCAAAGCAATTCTTGTATTCAGCTCCTATTTCTGTCATGGACAAGAGACTTTACAAATATTTTCCACTTTTATCAATGGAACTGGTTTTTCAGGGCAATAAGTGTGATAATCAGACTTGATCTTGTGATAGTCAGAGTCTTCTCTGTATTCTACAAATGTACCTGAGAGTGTTGATATAGAGGGAGAGGGAGTCAGAGGGGAAACCTGGGATAGAGAGAAACATTCTCTACCCTGTCACCTCTCATCTCTATTCCCCCTTTACCTCCCTTATTCATATGACTAACTCATGTCATGTGTACCAAAGTGAGGAATGCCTTTTAAACCAGAAAGACTTTATACTGTGTGTTGGAATATGAACTGCATGCTGAGTATTACCATAGACACTCAGAAAATGAAGGTCTGCTCTGCTTTTAGACAAAACAACTTTGCTCGTGGTTTAGACCAGCAACTGCCGGATGGTCTTGTGGTTGCCACTGTCCCCTTGGAGAATCAGTGTCTAGAGGAAATCTCAGAGCCCACCCCTGACCCTGACTTCTTGACTGGTAAGTGTGCCTTCCCTTATGCAGTCAAACCAAGGCAGATGTCCATAGTTTCTTAACATCATGGTACTCACTTGACCATACTCATTTTTGTTTCTTAGTCAGTCATTTCATTAAAACATGATAAATGCTCACTTATAAAGTCAAACATTAATAGGATTAATTATCAGTAAAATTGTTAACATTCTCATCCCACTCCTGACACCATTCTGTTACGATAAATCTTTCTGCCAAAAGCTGCCCTAGCCCCATTGCCACATTTGTGCTTAATTTGTGCCCAGGTTAGGGCCCCAATTAATGCACAGAGAGACTTGTATTAGGTACAATGCTGCTTGGCCAATGACTAGGATTTCTCGTCTTTTAGCTCAGTCTTAATTATCATAAATATATATTTTATAAGACTTATCTTATCGGACGCCTTATTGGCATCCCTCCTTGCTGGTGGATCACATTGCGCTGCTGGAGGAATAGCGGAGGGGAAAAGGGACACTTCCTGTTTTTCCTTTCTTAAATCTGAGTCTCCTTGCTATGTCATTTCCTGTCTGGTTCACCATTTCTTTACTACATTTCCCAGAATCCTCTTTGACTCCTAGTCCTGTCTGACTTGCTGTCTCATTGGCCAAACAGTATTTTATTCAATAATCAATCAGATAAATATACACAGAAGTACATTCCCCATCATTTCTTAACATCATGGTACTCACTTGACCATGCTCATTTTTGTTTCTAAGTCAGTCATTTGATTAAAACATGATAAATGATCACTTATAAAATCAAACATTAATAGGATTAATTATCAGTAAAATTGTCAACATTCTCACACAATTACTATAAAATGGCTGTGATAACATTTTTTTCTTGGTAAATTTTATAGAAATTCTCCAGTGGGGGTAGGAATGCCATAACGGATGCACATGCATTCATAGATTTTGGTTGGGTTAGAGGTATGTAGGTCATGGAGGCAGAGAGAAGATGGAGTGCACCTATTCCCTAAATGTGCATGGATAATATGGTTGTGTTCCCTGCAGAGAACTTCTAGAGCAGTGAGATAAGACAGAAACCTACTGAGTTTTGTTATCCAGTGACTCTGTGTTTGAATCCAGCTCTTTTTCTTGAAGGCCTCTTGATCCCTTGTCATGTGAAGGGGAAAATAAATCATGCCTCCCCTCTTCAGTTTCATGTTTCCTTCTCTTGACCTATATGGGACAGAGATGTAGCTTCATGAGCAGAAGCAGGCCCCAAAGGGTAGGCTGTTTCTCCCCAGGATTTTGGATAGATCCTCTTTGAGCTGAGAAGGGGCTTCAGGTGCTGCATTAACTCTAGAAATATGTAACTTGGGATTTGGCATCACTTACTAGAACAACATGCTTATCCCTCAACCTTATTCATTCTGTCTTCCTTATTCTATACTTTCTGCCTCCTTTCTTCCGTTTTTTGATGAATGGCTGAGCATAAGCCTTTAGCAGATACCAGGGATTAGAAGTGGTTCTTCCTAAAGCAACGAAGCATAGTAATTATTAGCATGGGCTCTGGAGCCCGGCAGCTGGGATCTGCTCATTACTGGCCTAAGTTCCGAACAAGCTACTTAACTTCTCTGTGCTTCAGTTTCTTTTGCCTTTAAAAATGTGCTTTATAACACTGTCTTCCTCATATCACTTCTTGATATGAGAGCCTAATGCCAATGAAAGTGATTCCTAACACATTGTAGCATTTGTGTTTGTTAACTAAATAAATGAACCAGTGAAAAGTACTGTTCAGCCAGCATGTACAACCTGTGGCTGCATATGGTGGTAAGTGTAGCCCAGCACAAAGTGTTAAACTCATTTAAAATACTATTCCATTTCTTGAGTATGAGCTTTGTAGATGATGACATTGTTTCTCAATAATATCATGTCTCAATATCAAAAAGGTAGCCATGCCTCCTGTGTGTCTTCTTTATGGTAGGAAAGGAAGCAACATAAAATAATAACAAAAAGTAGATGTATTCTAGGCCTTCGAGGAATCTCTTCAAAATAAAAAAAATATCAGTTGCCTGTGGAAGACCTTCTACACACACACACATACACACACACACACACACACACTCACACTTAACATACAGCCTCAGGAGTGCTTCCTAAAACACATAGGTCTCTAGTATCACTTCCATATTGTTTTATGAAAAATACTTCTCTCTTCCTCTCCATCCCACTCACACCCTGTGTGTGTGTGTGTGTGTGTGTGTGTGTGTGTGTGTGTACATGTACCAGTTTGGGGTCTAGCACCTACAAACAAGGCTAGTTCCATGCTACTAATGAGCTGCTTGTTTAGAGACCCACCAGCCCCCTCTTCCATCCCCCTACCCTGGCCCCTTTTATGGTTTTCTTTTGGAAGGGAAGATTGCCCTGCAATTATCAGGCTAGGAGGATGCTGAGCAGCCTGGGAGGGTGCCAGCAGCCTCAGGAGTGAGGGGGATGGAGCTGAGACAGCAGAAGCACCTATACTTAACTCCACATCTCTGAGATAAGGAAAAGCTTCAAATCACATTCTTAGCCACAACAGAGTTATATTTATTCCTGTGTTCCTGGGACCCTCTTTGTGTGACTTAAAGTTATTTACCCCTGTGTTCCTGGATCTCTCTGTGTGATTTAAAGTTAAAAATGACAAGTTGCAGTATTCCTGATCTCTGTGGCTCCCAGGCAAAGTGAATGCTTCCTGACCTGGAGGGTTTTTTAAAAGCTGGATAGCTTTTAAACTATTTTTGTTATGCAGAGCTAGTTAGTGCAAGGGCATGTCTTTCTGTGATATAAGCAAAGAGTAAGTTCCTTCCCTTGTGCTTTCAACCCAGAATAACTAGAAAGATTGCAAAAGAGATGACTGACCAAATGCCTTCCATATTCTCCAGCTAGTTCTGGCAACACTTTAGTGATAACTTTCCATGCAGTGCCACAGTGGATCTTGCATCCTGTCACGCTCAGGGTTGTTATGGGTCATAATCCTCACAAACCTACAAGCTTGGAGGGTTTTAGAGCTAAAGTGATCTTCAGAATCGTCTGTCTCAGCATTCCTACGCATGTTTTTTTGCTTCTTTTTTCATGAAAAATCCATGTTCTGTTCATAAACTGGTTCTGATTTCAAATATATTCAGGAAAACTGCATGTGGCATCCTCCTTTCAGTAATTCACACCACCTTAGTATTAGAAAGCCTGCAGGCGAGAAATCCCTTTCACTTTATTTAACCCAGCAATTCCCAATCCTATTTAACTAGAGAATCCTTTGCACACAGACCATCTGGCAGAATTATTAAATAACATACTGGAAATACTGATTTATAAATCTTCATTGGCTTCTTCAGAATAACAATTAAACTCCAAGCTTCCCAGGTCATTCTATTGTTACAGGTTGCATGGAAATTAAAGAAGACCAGCCAAATGAAAACAGGTAACAGCTATTTATTCTGGGCTGGCGATAGCAGAGAACATAGCAGCTATCATGTGCATTTTGGCACAGTCTCAATGGTAGAGAGGAAAGTAGGAAATCTTCATGATGAGAAAGGGGAAGGTCACAGGTATGATCGACAGCTCTTGACATGGAGATACTGTAGGTAAGCTAACCAGGACCTATGCCATTGGCTAGGGGGATGTATTAGATGCTCTATCATTAATAAGATCCTGGGTGTTTAGATGCAATTAGGGCTAATCATCAGTCTTCTGGGGCAGTGTGCTGGAGAGGGTCTGGCTTTCCACACACTGACTGGCTTTGTGTTGGCTTCCTGAATGGGTTAGTAGAGGCAACAGGATGGGATAGTTTTCCAAGCAGTTGCTATAGATTTGGAATAGAGTTCTGCTTCTGGATTGTTCTGTCTTCTGTCTATTTGTATATTCTTTCATCCCCCCAACATTCCTCCACCTTTCTCTTCTAGTCCCTTCTCTCTCCTTCCCTTCTCTTTTCCAATTATACACAGGCATGTTCAGTAGGTTAAAAATATAAAATAAAAAACAATATCTATTCTCAAGAAAAAAATAGCAGAGACCATTTTGTTTGGGAACAAACAATTTTGTTTGTTTGAGAGAAAACCTATTTGGTGTAAATGTGTTCCAAAACGATAATAAAATAAACCTGACTGCATGTCAAGGACACACTGAGAAAGAAACATGACAAAGAAACATGACTCAGCTAGAAATTATGTACTTTATCCTTCCTTTGTAACTAAGGGAAGAATTATCTGTGAGTAGGTATAAGCAGACACTTCCCAAGCATTACCAGTTATGTAATCACTTCCCTGATTGCAATGGCACCTGAGCATAGCCACTGGAATTGTGTGTGGCTGGTAAATAACCAAGTCTATGGAACTTATCCTGGGGAAGAGATGGGATACCATCCTGCCTATCTGCAAACATCCATGGCTGTTGCTTATTCTTAAATTCTCCCTGTTGTTCTGGAATTAAGTTTATAAAGTCACAACAATGTAACAGCTAAGAAATGTCATGGATGGAGGGGGCAGGGGATAATGGGATAATGTCACAGGAACATGCATGCACATGCTGCCTTATTTTCCCCCAAAGGGTTTTATGCTCAGAATTTTACTCTGCTCTCAGCATCTACCTGTGTAAAAGTTGGGATAAATGCCCTCAGCCCCACTTTTCACATGCGAATACAGAAACACCTACATTGCTTGCCTGGTCATTTGCACAGCCACTTGAAATCACAGATTTGAAAAGGAAATCAAAACATATTTCATCCAGGCCTCTGATTTTGCAGATTAAACATCGAGGAAACAAAATTTCCCATATCCATGTAACCAGAGAGAGGTTACTTGGGTCGTGAGAAGGAAAAATGACAGACATTAAAGTGATTTTCATTCTGGAATTTTCAATTTTAGCAACACTAGCTTTGAAGCCCAGGTTGCCTGGTTTCTTGTCTACTTTTTTCCTACTAAGACACAGTTCAATTAAAAGGATCTACACCACCCCCCATGTGTTGAAGATCTTTGCTTATTAGACTTGGTGTGTTTGTATAAATAGGCATTTTCAGATAGCAACAGAATGGATGACACTGTATTGGAATGACTCTGCACTGCACATGTGTTTTCTGTGCTAAAGAATTGTACCTTTACGATAATGAATTCTTACACTGACTAAGTTTGAATTTCATCTGTGTGCCTTTGAAATCAATGTAAAGGTTAAAGGTCAAAGTATGTAGTCCTATGACATCATCACAAATCTTGACTCAGCTAGAAATGATGTTCTTTATCTTTCCTTTGTAACTATGGAAGAATTATCTGTAAGTAGGTATAGCACAGACACTTCCCAAGCATTACCAGTTATGTAACCACTTTCCTGCCTGAGAAGATGAAAATTCAATTGAAAACACCAAAGGCCTTCTCTTCCTTACATGAAACTTCTCTTTGATTACCTGAGATAAAATTTAAGCAATAGCTCCACTAAGCAACTTTTCTTGACCTTTCTTCTTTTTACCTTACCAATAATTACTCCCATATGATTCACACAGAAATGGAAATTCGGTAATTACTCACCTAATTTGATCAGAGTTGACAAGCAGCTAATTAATCCTGCCCACTCTTCATTCAGTTTAGGTATTAAGTTAGTTGATTTAGTTTTGAAGAAGCAAAAGCCAAAAGGGCTGAAGAATTGACTGGGTATGTCTGTTTCATTGCCATATTTGTACACCCACAGTCTATGCATTTATATATACTTTATTATGTACTTGTGTTTGTATACATATATACATGTGCATAAGTGCACATATACAATTCTGTGACATATGTATGTATATAATGCTAGACACAGAAATGGAGCTAATTTTTTTTTAACAAACTTGGGAAGTCTTTATTTCCTATGGCCTAATTATTTTGTTTCTGTAGCAATATATATTTATAGAGTTGGCTGGGATTCCAATCGGGGAACTCTTTCTGCTCTTGATAAAGAGCAGGCCATTTATATGTGTGAAGGCTCTAAAGAGGTATGTTTTGAGAGGACCTTGGGCAACAGACTCAGCTTCTCAGAGCCTGGATTTCCTCATAGGTAAAGGTGCAACGTAAATGCATATCCCATTGCCTGACACATACGTGGTACTCGATATTTGGCTGTCACTACCCTTTGATAACTTGGTTACCTGACAGTGCCCCTTCTGGTAAAGGAGAAATAGGCATTATCAGCCTCAGAATAATTAAAGTGTAAATACCAAATATAAATCAGTTAAATGAGACAGGAAAATCAATGTTACAGATACGTGAGCTGAGTCAATTACTGCAAATATTAAAGAGACTAAAAATCAGGCATTCCAGTAAGTGTAGATTCTAATATAAATTTATTTTGTTAGATATTATAATAGATGAGCAAGGATCCTTGTTTTGGATTTAGGCACATCTGGGACCCCTCTCTGTCTCATCTAGTCTCTTGGGGATTTTGTATAAATACCCAGGGTCCTAGTATCTTCATTTGGCAGGTGCAGATGATAACACCTATAGCAAAAGGATCAAATGGCTTAACATATGCAAAGTGCTTAGCAAAATGCCCAGCAGAGAGCAAGAGTTCAATAGACAATGGTTGATACGACTACACTTCTAGAGAGTCTCTTCATCAAAGAGCACTTCATAATTTCCTCACCAATACATTCTTACCTTAATTGAACTGGGTCATGCTTTTTAACTTAGGACTTGTGAGTCAGCCTCACACACTGACCTTTTGTCTCCTCTGTCCCCAGGGATGGTGAACTTCAGTGAAGTATCTGGATATCCCGTGCTTCAGCACTGGAAAGTTCGGTCTGTGATGTACCACATCAAACTCAACCAAGCAGCAGTCTCTCAGGGTGAGCAACCACTACGGCAAACTCTCCCTCCGCCTTCCCCTGGGTCTGGGAATTCTTTTCCAAAGGGATCATTCAGCTCAGAATTGCAGAAGCAGCCTTCCACACAGCCTCTGCATGAGACATACAATCAATGAACTCAGAGTCACTCTTGGGGCAAATGAATAGAATGAAATTCTTTTCTAGGCACAGATTAAATTGTAAGGTGTATCTTATGTTATAGAAGGCAAGGCTGGAACCAATGAAGATATCAGTTTTTCTCCCTGGGGTTATCCAGTGTGATCAAAGTATTTTGTTAAAGTAAGCTTTTAATAAATTGTCAGAAAAAAATTTGAAAGGACAAAAACATGGTTAAAAGATTTCAAATAGGATGACCCAAAGAAAATGGAGTAGAGGTGCGGAGAAAGAAAAAAAAAGAAGGGAACAATGTTTCTGAAACATGAAGTGTAATAGAGAGCAACACTAAGTCTTTACTATACGTAGTAGTGTATATTATAGAGAAAGTATAATTATATGTAGAAATATAATTAGGGTCTTAGTGGCAGCAAAAGGAAGGTGGAGTCTCAGAGTCAATAGAAGGAAGACAATTGGCCATAAAGAATTATGATGAAAAGTAAAGCCTAACTCAAAAAGAACTGCTTCATGAATTGTAAAAGATCAGATATCTAGAACTTTCTTTTTTTGAAGATTTTTATTTATTTATTATTTATACAACATTCTGTTTCCATGTATATCTGCACACCAGAAGAGGGCACCAGTTCTCATAACGGATGGTTGTGAACCACCATGTGGTTCTTGGGAATTGAACTCAGGACCCCTGGAAGAGCAGTCAGTGCTCTTAACCTCTGAGCCATCTCTCCAGCCCTAGAACATTCTTATTAGACATGGCATTACTGTAACCTACTTAGAACATTTCCATGGGGTCCAGTAGATCTCAAACCTTTTATTTTTTCCTTCATTTGACAGACTTCTTGGGGACAAAAGGGATTGGAATGAGAACTATAATGAAGGAAACCACAAGAGCAGATTATGTAGAAAATGAAGTCACTCTTTACTCTCAGAAAACATGGCAATAGAAACACTACTCCAGCCATACACTCAATTTGCCCTAGAGCACCTGTTGGGCACTACAGGGGTAATCACTCAGATGTTCACTTTGCTAGGACCTAGCAAAGTGACAGTGTTGTCCCAAGTGATGTGGACCTTGATACTTAAAGTCTCACGGCTGGGTTAGACTTCACCTTGCCCCAAGAGGACACAGATGTTTAGAAAGGAGGGCTGAGTAGAGCTGGCCAAATAGTCTTAGAATTGGAAAGTTTAGTGTAGGCCATCTTCTCCCATGAGTCTTAAAGAAGGACAGAAACCGAGAAGAGATTTGGCTTGGATGAAGAGTAAGGAAGCATTCGGGGTCCTTCCACTCTTCATTCTCCCTGTTCCTTTACCTTTTGTTTTTTTCTAAAATAAAATGTAAGCTTTGTTTCTATGACCTTTCTTACCTCTTTTCTTCCATTATCTTTCCATTACTCATTTCTTGGTCAACATGTTTTGCAAATATTTTTGGTTCCTGTATTCCTTAGTTTCCTCATTGTTATGACAAAACACCTGCCATGATTAACTTAAGGAAGGAAGGATTTATTTTGTCTCATTCCCATGTTAGAGAAAGCAAGGTGGCAGGATTAGGAAGCAGAGAGAAACGAATGTTGGTGTTGAACTTGCTTTCCTTATGTGTTCTGCTCAGCACCCCAGCCCAGTGAATAGTGCCACCCAGAATTAGGGTGTGTCTTCCCACCTTGTCTCAGTTCATTATTCAATTTCTGTGATAAAACACCACGACCAAAAGCAACTCCAGGAGGAAAGAAAGAGTTTATTTAATCTTACACATCCCCATTAACAGTCTATCACTGAAGGAAGTTGAAAAAGGAACTCCAGGGAGGAACTGAAGCAGAAGCCATGAAGGAATGTTACTTACTAGCTTGCTCCTTGATGACTTTCTCATACTGTTTCCTTATAAAACTCAAGCCCACCTGCCTAGGCTTGACATCACCCACAGTGGAGTAGGTCATCCCAAATCAATCATTAATCAGGAAAATTCCCAATAGATTTGCCTTAGGCAAATCTTGTGGATCCATTTGCTCAATTAACATTCTTTTTTCTTCAGTATATCTAGGTTTGTGTCAAGTTGACAAAAACCAACCAGGACACACCTCAACTAATCTAATCTAGAAACTTCTTCACAGACATTCTCTGAAGTTCATTACCTAGATGACTCCAGATACTGTCAAGCTGACAATCAGTATTAGCCATCATAGTCTCTACCCACAAAACATTTTTTTATTCTATGACCCCATACTTCACATACACTCACGTTCGAATAACACTTGCACCATAAAACAATACTTCATTTTATGATGTGAAATATTTCTTGCTAGTATTTATATTTCTATTTTAGACAATGCTATTCTCTTTCTATTTTTAAGATGCTATTAATTAAACTGACTAAATTGATTTAATGTCATGAACTGCAGTTTTAGGGGACACAAAACCATTTACTTACTGGTTGCAGAAGTCAGGATTTGTGCTCCTCTGCTTAACTTGCATGAAATTAACAGCACAACCAACATACTTTATTTCAGTTAAATAGAAATCCATGATATTCCTAGCCAGCTCTCAAACATCATTGGAGGTCACAAGGTCACATTTGGGGCCAGGTTGCCTAGGAATCCATGTACCTAACTGGTGAGTTCCCATCCTTATTTATTCTTGGGTGATGTTCTCTCGTAGCCTTCAGCAATGCTCTCCACTCCTTGGATGGAGCTACATCTCGTGCAGATTTTGTGGCCTTGTTGGATCAGTTTGGTAACCATTACATCCAGGAAGCTGTCTATGGCTTTGAGGAATCCTGTTCTATATGGTACCCAAACAAACAAGTCCAAAGGCGACTGTGGCTGGAGTATGAAGATATCAGTAAAGGTGAGTGGCTTGTTCCATGGCAAATTCTACACCTGTGCAAGTACTGTCTGCCCACCAGAAATCTGTATAGCCAAATGTAAATGATTAATTCTGATTTCCCCCAATTCTGTGTGCTTATCTATAAAATTTCTAAGGTCAGCTTGCTAGAATAATATCTGGACATTAGAAAATGCAGGATGGGACCACAACTGTATGTTCATTGTGGTAGTTACTATAGAGAGTCCACTAAAAGTTGACAGCCACCATCCATTCTGTTGCTATGAAATAGGAGGGAAGGAGGAGAATGTTCCAGTCCATTTACCCACAGCAACATCAACATACTGCCTCTTAACCCTTCACAGGAATGACATAGTAAGTCCCTTTTCATTCCATCTTGTGTGGGAACTCGAAGAATTGACTCTATTTCATTTTAACTTAAGATAAGAGAGTTTTAACCTGCCATTGTTCCTTCAAGGTCAAACTATGGAATGTCTGGCCCAAGATATAAATGCAACAGGATTCTTGGCATAGGATGTGGTCAATGCATGTCCTACCCGAGTAACCAAATACTTAACTCAGGATATAATTACTTCATGTTTTGGCTATTGAGAAGGAAAGTATGCTTGCTTGTTCTTTGTATCTTGTTAAAGAATTCTTTTGCCTTCTCCCATCTTTTGATGGGGATATAAAAAGACTGTGCATGATAAACACAAGTAGTTCAGTATTCTAGATGACCCCCAGACACTATCTCTTGTCTCCTCTCTATTCCTTTTCTCAATCCACATGCCCTCTCTCAGGTATGGACTAGACTAGTTGGCTGGACCCAACTGAAGCCCCCCAAAAGCAGGCAATGGAAAATGTCCCTCAGTGTGTGGCAATGATAATCTTGCACTATATTTAGTTTTTTTCATATCCCCTAATGAGTTGTGTTTTGAAGAACTGTCTTAAGTTGGGTGACATACTTAAAAATAAATCCTTGTCCCCACTATCTGAACAGCAAGGCACTAACCAGTCTAAGTAAGTATAATATCTTGAAAACTTTAAAATCTTCTGAAGTAACTTTGTTGTATAGTAGTGGTGCAGTCCTAAGTATTTATAATCATATCAAGACTGATTTAGCATTGCCATTCTCGGACTTCCTCCTGAGCCAATCTGCTTGGTATTCTAATGAGAGCTAGTTACGGATGTGTGAACTGCTAACAGGGACGTCTTGAACTGATACAACGAAATTCAAGAAATGGGACATCTTATCAGTCATGAATCAAAATTCCTTTGAGACTAGAGCCCCTCTTCTATCAGTGGTACTATCAAAAGAGTCATTATGTCTGTTGCCTAAGTGTTCATATTTCTGTGAGCTCCATACAAACCCTCATTTGCCTTGTTCAACAGGATACAGAAGTATGATGGCTTCTCTTCTGGTTGGCTTCTTTCTCCCAGGACCAAGAGATTAATCCCTGGACCACAGTGGCTATAGGAACATTCACCTAAGCCAGAGTCCTCCAAAGTCATAGATACAACCTCAGGCGTCTCAAACTTTGGAATCTGAACAATATTCTGAATCCAATTTGCCAAGGGAACAGTGTCATATAAGTGAATGTAGATAAGATCAGTTCCAGCTGGCAAAGCTGTCAGAATTCTCCACTCCAGAGCCCAGGGACTGAATCACAAGGCTGAATTCTCTGCTCGTCCTGCCTGCCAGGGGCTCAGTGATTGCCAAGACCTGGGATTTCTGGGAGATAAAAGTCCAACCTTTCTCCAAGCTCCTGACTCTACATGATGCTTCTCTTCAGGCACTGTACTGTCCTTAAAAAGGAGCACTGAGCACTGAGCCCAGTAGGGAAATTTGCCAAAGCCTTAGCATTGCACCTACTTCCCTTGATGGGAAGCCTCTCTTGCCACTCAGGACCCAGCTTTGCCACAATCCAACTGTTGACTTGAGTTCTTGGAACTATGATATATGTAACTTCCTGCTTGCTATTCACATTAAAAGTTATTCGGTCATTTTAGTTACTTCAGCTATACCTGACTTGTAAGAAGTGACCACTGCCCATGTTCATCCTGGAGCCCCCAATTCTTGAGACTTCTCTGTAAGCTACAGGGTTCATCTGTTTTGTTGTTTGTCCACGTTCTTAATTTTAAACTTGGGCATTGATCTCCCTTTACTCTAAAACACAATCATTTGTTGCCTTTCCTGTTTTTGTTCTTGTTTCTTGCAGTTGCTGCCAGTGGTGATAGTGGGGGTAGTAACTGGTGTAAAATCCCTTCTGGTATGTGGGTATGATTGTAGGCATGCAGCATTAGTTTCATGTGACTAATGAAAACCTAGAGATGCATGTTTTAGGCCAGATGTTTAGAGGCCAGCACCCTATTCAGTAGTTTTTACTTCTCATAATACCATTTTGGATTAAATGGCTCTACATGAATCTTTTGGAAACCTGTGGAAAAATATTCCTCCATTTCCAATTTCTATGATAAGACTTGATCACTTTCTTTTTATTTCTTCTTTGCTTGCTTCTTTCTTTCTTCTTTCACAAAAAAGAACACAACTATAAAATAGAATTTTCCAGTAACCTTCATCCCCATGTTTCCTTTCATCATCATTTGCCCTTGATCCCAGAAAACAGGAAGTTTTTCCACTTCAGATTAACCTCTCCATCTATGCTTTGGCTCCCAACTGTCTTGTTTCATTTTACCTCTTGCTCATAAGTTACGTCCTTTTTAATCTTTACAATCTCTTCAGCTGCTGAATTCTCTCTTTCCCAATGCCAAGTCTTTGAAAACTCATCTTCTCATAAATGTGACCTTTTTTTTTTTTTTACCACTGTTTACTTTAAACACATTCTCAAAACATTTAAGAGTTTTGTGTCATTTCTTTGCTTCCTCTCATTGACTTTATACCATTCTTCCAATTACTTTCTAACAGCACCAGAGGAGGAGAAAATCAAGGACTTTTTAATCAGAGTGTCACTAGCATTTGTTCTATGGCCACTCCATCTATCTTATCTATAGACTTTTCTATCATCTTGTCACTCCTTAAAACTTGTCTCTTCCTGTGATGTTCCTATTGCTGCTCTGTTCATATTGTCTTCCTATGTCCTTAATCTTTATATTTTATTCACTTTGCCCTTACTGCTTTAAAGAAATCATTTACATATATAATAATGGTACAAAGCTTTCATTTTTGGGGAAGATTTATTTTAATCTGTGTGTTGGGGGGGCACAGGTATGACAGTGTCCCGAAAGGAATCAGATCCTCTGGAGCTGGAGTTATTAGTGGTTGTGAGCCACCAGATTTGAATGCTAGGCACTGAACTCCAGCCTTCTGGAAGAAGAACAAATGTTCTTAACCATTGAGTCATCTTCCTAGTCCCATTCCATCTTTACTATTCTTTCCTTCCTTCTTCACTGATGTTGGATGATTTCCATCTGAATCCTCAGCTACCACCCCAGAATCTTTCCTTTCCTCCCAGAATCAGAACTTCATTGCCACTGAGTGATCAAGATTTCTACCTGTATCTTCTCCAGACACTCCAGTGGTCAAAACCTGGCTTCCCTATAGTCACTAGATTCTGAACCCATGTATGGCACAGAATTTAAAGTGCGGAGTCTGCTAGTTCTCATCCTTTGCATTCAACCACTATAAAGTTCTGACCTCTTCTCCACCTATTTTCTCAGCATGTGCCTCTTCTTTTGAATTTCCTTAAGGCTGTGTTTACAATATCGATTGCTATAGTAACAATTCAGATGGGAGAGAGTATAAGGGGAAGGGGAGACAGAATGTGAGAGACTGGTATATAGTGTGCTGTAATAGATAGCATGGGTTAATTCCTCATATATGCTGTACAGTAGGGTGAATATAGCGAACTATAATGTTATCATATTCTAAACAGCTAGAAGTGAGCATTTGAGTATTCATCATGAATAAGTGATCAAAATTTAAGGTGATGGATATACTAATCACTTTGCTTTGATTATTGCATCAAACATACATCATGCATATACATAATACATATCAGTCAACACATCATTCTGTACCCATAAATCTATATAGTTATTATATCAATAAGAACTCCATTTAAATGATTTCCTCCTGTATCTCCTTTGCTTCTGTTTCCTGCTATTTCACTGCATTCTAAAATTCACCATCTGTTACCTTTTAAAAATGCAATTTAATGGCATTGCTCCTCAGCTTGAAGCTGTATGCTTATTCCTTCCTGCTGTCTCAGCATGAGAAGCGCGGCTTCACTCCCTGTATCAGTTTCCCGTGGCTGCTGTAACAAATTACACAGTCTTGACTTCTCAAAATAAATTCACACTCTTCTAGTTCTGGAAGCCAGCAGTCCAGAAACAGTCTCAGTGGACTGAAACCCCCAAGGCTGACTTCCAGAAGGGAGAGTAAGAGCTTCCCAGGGTCCAGGCTACACCTGGTTTGTCACTAAAAATCTTCAGACTTCTGAGTCCTGAAGCTTATAGCTATCCATCTACCCAACCTTGACTATGATTCTGGATCTCCCTCCTACTCAGCAAGAACTAGTGTGACACCATTTTTACAAGGCTTTCCTGACTGAAGACACAGTTCTTGGCAGCCTGCTTCCTGCTCTATCATGCTTGTGGACTCTTTCCAGCACTCTTCATGTTCCTGTGTTGTCATTTCCATGTGTGCTTGTCTCCCACAACAATGGCCTTGGCAGCACTAACTATATTTTTATTTTTAATTTCAAGTGCATTTGCTTAAAATATTGAAAGTGTATAAAACAGTATAAAATAAAAAGTAAACCCTTTCCCTGACTCTTATTTCCTAGTATTCTACTCAACAGAGGCAAAATGACAGTCATTACTACCAGTTTACTGTCTGTAGCAGGCTTTCTCTTGGGCCACCATCTAGCTCCCAAATCATGACATGGAGACTTATTATTAGTTGTGAATGCTCAGCCTTATTGTATGCCTGTCCCACTAGGTCTTATAACTTAAATTACCTGTTTTCCTCCATCTATATTTTTGCTCTTGAGGCTTTTTACCTT